ACCCATTCCCCCCATTCTGTGCCCCCCAACCTCGTGCCCCGACCCTGTGCCCCCCTTTTCCCCCATTCCGTGCCCCCCGGTGCCCCCCGCGCCCCCTCACCGGGCACGAGCACGGTCTGCAGCGGCCGCACCTCCACCCCCTGCGCCGGGTACTCCAGCGGGGAGTTGGCCGGGACGATCAGCAGGCGGTCGGCGGGGGTCTGCACCCTGCGGGGGCACCGGGCTTAGCCGGGGGTCGCGGGGGTCGCGCACGCAGCAGGGGCTGTGCCAGCCTGCGGGGTCCCCGCGCTCACCGGGTGCGGTAGTTGCGGTACTCGCGCTCCCGCAGCCGCAGCTGCCGCGGCCGCTCCCCGGGGCTGAAGGCGCTGGCGAAGTCGAGCCCCGGCGGGCCGGGCCCGAAGAGGCGCCGGTGCAGCGGCAGCGCCAGCCCCGCCTCCGCCTCCGCCTCGCACGAGCAGCCGTTCCGCGGCAGCAGCCTGGCGCGACAGGGCCGCTGTCACCGGCAGCGGGGAGCGGCACCGCCCTGGCACCCCCTGGCAGCGCCCTGGCACTGCCTGTCCCCAGGTGGCACCGCCCTGGCACTGTCTGTCCCCGAGTGTCACTGCCCTGGCACCCCCTGGCACCGCTCTGGCAGCGCCCTGGCACTGCCTGTCCCCGGGTGTCACTGCCCTGGCACCCCTGGCACCACCCTGGCACTGCCCTGGCACTGCCTGTCCCCAGGTGGCACCCCCTGGCACTGCCCATCCCTGCGTGGCACCGCCCTGGCACCACCCTGGCACTGCCCGTCCCTGTCTGTCCCCAGGTGTCACCGCCCTGGCACCGCCCTGGCACCACCCTGGCAGCCCTTGTCACTGCCTGTCCCTGTATGTCACCACTCTGGCACCGCCCTGGCACCGGCCGTCCCTGCCTGTCCTGCGTGTCACCACCCTGGCACTGCCCTAGCACTGCCTGTCCTCACGTGGCACTGCCCTGGCACCTCCTGTCACCTCCCCTGTCCCCAGCTGTCACCGCCTGTCCCTAGGTGTCAACACCCTGGCACTGCCCTGGCAGCTCCTGTCACCTCCCCTGTCCCCAGGTGTCAACACCCTGGCACCGCCCTGGCAGCTCCTGTCACCTCCCCTGTCCCCAGGTGTCACCGCCCTGGCACTGCCCCGACACCTCTCGTCCCTCCCTGTCCCCTCGTGTCACCCCCCTGGCACCTGCTGCCACCTTCCAGCCCCACCTGCCACCGCCACAGCCCTGACCCCCCTGGCATGGCCTTTGTCACCCCTCTGTCACTGCCCATCCCCCGGTGCCCCCAACACCCAACCCTGGGGTGCCCCATCTTTGGGTGTCCCCACCCAGGGGCGCCCCATGGGAGCCACAGCCCCGTCCTGGGGCGCCCTCAGCCCTGAGCACCCCCACCCTTGGGTACCCCATCATTGGGTGCCCCCATCCTTGGAGACCCCCCACCCATGGGTACCCCCACACCCGGGTGCACCCCATCCTTGGGTACCCCATCCTTGGGTGCCCCCACCCTGGGTGCCCCAACACTCTCAAACCCTTCCCGTGATCCCTCAAACCCTTCCCGTGATCCTCAAACCCTTCCCATGATCCCTCAAACCCTTCCCGTGATCCCCCAGCCCCTCCCAGTGCCCCCCAGTGCCTCCCCAGTGCCCCCTGGACAAGACAGCCCCTCCCAGTGACCCCAGTGTCACCCGTGCCCCTCCAGTGCCCCCCAGTACAGCCCAACCCCTCCCAGTGTCACCAGTGCCCTCTCAGTGCCCCCCGGTGCCCCCGGGGCGAGGCTGCTCCTCCCAGTGTCACCAGTGCAACCCAACCCCTCCCAGTGCCCCTCCAGTGCCCCCAGTATAACCCAGCCCCTCCCAGTGACCACCAGTTCGCCCTGTGCCCTGAGCACAACCCAGAGCCCCCAGCGCCTCCTGCTGCCCCCCAGCACCCCCAGTACAAACCAGTGCCCGCAGCACCTTCCAGGGAACAGTGCCCCCAGTACAACCCAGAGCCCCCAGTGCCTCCTGCTGCCCCCCAGCATCCCCAGTACAAACCAGTGGCCACAGAACCCCCCCAGTACAAACCAGCACAAACCAGTGCCTACGTCACTCCCCTAGGGAATCCCAGTACAAACCAGTGCAAACCAGTGCCCATGGCATCCCCCCCACCAGTGACTCCCAGTACAAACCAGTGCCCACGTCACTCCAGTTCGCCCTGTGCCCTGAGCACAACCCAGAGCCCCCAGCGCCTCCTGCTGCCCCCCAGCACCCCCAGTACAAACCAGTGCCCGCAGCACCTTCCAGGGAATCCCAGTACAAACCAGCACAAACCAGTGCCCACATCACCCCCCCAGGGAATCCCAGCAGAAACCAGTGACCACAGACCCCCCCCAGTACAAACCAGTGCAAACCAGTGCCAACACCCCCTCCCAGGGAATCCCAGTACAAACCAGTGCCCACAGCCCCTCCCAGTGACTCCCAGTACAAACCAGTGCCCACAGCCCCTCCCGGGGACTCCCAGTACAAACCAGCACAAACCAGTGCCATGTCACTCCCCCAGGGAATCCCAGTACAAACCAGTGCCACCAGTGCCGTGCACCACCCCTCAGTCCCCGCTCTGCCTCCAGCATTCCCCAGCACTCCCATCTCCCAGTTTCCCAGTTCTCCCAGTTTCCCAGTTCATCCCAGTGCCCTGCCCAGTGCCCCACCCAGCTCCCCCGTTCTGCTGTGCTCAGACCCTTCTATCCTTCCCCAGTGCTCCCAGTATCCCCAGTGCCTCCCAGTGCTCCCAGTATCCCCAGTGCATCCGGTAATCCCAGTGCTCCCAGTGTTCCCAGTTCCCCCAGTGCTCCCAGTGTTCCCATTTCTCCCAGTGTTCCCAATTGTCCCAGTTCCCCCAGTGATCCCAATTTTCCCAGTACTCCCAGTTCTCCCAGTACCCCCATTTCTCCCAGTGCTCCCAATTCTCCCGGCGCTTCCAGCGCTCCCAATTCCCCCCATTCTCTCGGTGTTCCCAGTACTCCCAGTTCTCCCAGTACCCCCATTTCTCCCGGTGCTCCCAATTCTCCCAGCACTCCCAGTGCTCCCAATTCCCCCTATTCTCCCGGTGTTCCCAGCACTCCCAGCTCTCCCAGTGCCCCCAGCGCTCCCCGTGCCCGCACCTGGGGGTGGGCGCGGGTCCGGGGGTCTCAGCCCACACTCATGGCTCTGCCCCCGCAGCTGCGGCCTGGGGACACGGCGACAGTGTCGGGCGGGGGGGCCGCCCCCGGGACCCCCCCGGGGGCGCTCAGAATCCCGGGGATTGAAGGGGTCCCGAGGGCTTCCGGGGGCTGAGGGGTCCCGGGGCCTGGGGAATCCCGGGGGTTGGGGGATCCCGGGCTTTGGGGGTTTTGGGGTCCCGGGGTTTGGGGGTCCCGGGGGTCCCGGGGTTTGGGGGTCCCGGGGGCGCTGGGAGAGGTCCGGGCGGGCTCGGGGGAGGCCGGGGCAGCGGTGCCGGGGGAAGGCGCCGGGGGCGGCCCCGCTCGCTCGGGGTCTCCGCTCGCCCCTCCCGGCTCCGGTAATCACGTGACCCCCCCGGGATGCTCGGGGCTCTCCGCCAATCAGCGCGCGGGGATCGCCTGCATCCCGCTCGGCCAATGGGGAGCAGCCAGGCGTTACGTCATCGCGGCCGGCCGCGCCCCGCCTCGCCATTGGCTGCCGCCCGCGCGGGCCCCGGCCAATCGCCGCAAGCCGCGGCCTCGCAACCACCTCGCCCCCGCGGCCTCACAACCGGCGGCGTCATCCCCGCCCGCTGACCAATCAGAACCGAGCTTGCCTTTGACAGGCAGGAGTTCAGACCAATCACAGCCGGCAGCAGCGGGGCCGGGGCGGGCGCGGGGAGGTGCGGGCGGAAGCGGAAGCGGCGGCGGCGGGGGAAGATGGCGGCGCGGCGGGGCCC